CAAACATTATGGCTGTCCGCAACACGAGTACTAAATTGCTGTTAATTTTATGAGAACACAATTTTCACTATATTTTATCGTCATTTTATTTACCTATGTAATCGTTTATTGGATTACTATTTTTTATGATTTTAGACTAATCGCGCATTTTTTGGTCTATTGGTTGTGCGCCAGTTGTATTAGTTTTGGTTGCAGGTCGAGGCTTGCGTAGTCGGTCAGTCCCTTTTTTAGCGTAGCTGCTAGCCTTTCTTGCTTTTAACTTATTAAAATAATGTTCAGTTCTTTGCCGTCTCACACCTATCATGGACGATTATTGGTTCTGTCTTCAGAAGAATACGCTGAGGATTTTTCAGTCTCCGCACGCACGAAGGAAGCAGTCACAGCGTAGTCTATCAGACCATACTTTTTCTTAGACATGTCCGTACCAGAGGGTGACATCGCTAAGGGAAAGAAGCTGTTTGTCCAGCGTTGTGCACAATGCCATACAGCGGTCGCTGGTGGCTCCCATAAGACTGGGCCTAATCTTCACGGAATATTCGGCCGCAAAAGTGGCATGGCTCCAGGTTACGACTACACCGAGGCTAATAAGAAAAAAGGTATGCTTTTAGCTTGCGTTCTTTCCCCTCCCACATCCTGATACAGACCTGCATTTTTATTTCCTTTTGCGTCATATATGCATATCTGGGAGCCGAATCACCAGTGGATGGGGCTCATCCTTAGCTTTTAACTTTCCCCTCCTCGCTGATAGCAACTGTATTTCGAACTTTCCGCTTTTAAAATTTTCGGATCAGTGATCTCTGGCCGACATCAATTCCTATGGAATATCGAGTCGAGGAACGAAGTGATCGATCATCCGACTCGATATTCTAAAGCCGAGTTTCACCAATATCAAGAAGAAAACAGTGCGATGTGTTGCGAGTTGCGATCTTAAATCTTTCGAAAATATATATTCACACTCTCCCTAGTACTAAAAAATTTCCCCGTCGTTCAACTTGCGGAGGTGGCTCAATCTATAGTTCTCACAGGCAGTCGCATAGCTGTTGCGATTCGAACCTGGGATCTTCACACATAAACCCAAAAGTTCTGCTACCGAGCCCCATATCTGGAATCGGATGTCTAATAAGCCAAAAATAAACATTCCGATCTCCCTCGTTTTTGCCAGTACCTCACTATCTGCATAGGCTACTAGTCGCTATGCGACTGCCTAGTTGGCTCTAGATCAAGCCCCAACACATAATGAGGAAGTTCCGTATCGTTACCGGTGAACGTCTCTCTTCTATTTTTAATATACACGACCACAACAGAGCCTGTGGCTCAATGGTTACATAAATCGGGTTCGGTCCTCAGAGGTGACAAAATATGCAGTTCGGCACGGTTAGCTGACAAATACGTATAAGCTAAAAATAGTCACCCCAATATCTTCAAATTTTGGTAAATGATATCATTTACATTCTTTAGCAATACCCATGAGGGTTGTCCCTGTTTGGCGAATGATCCTCAGTCTTTCTATTTTTATTTTTAACAGTTGCTAACATATAATCGAGTTCCATTGAACAACACTTTCCTGTTACACTTTAATTTACTTTCACAGGCGTGATATGGACTGACCAGACTCTTTTCGAATACCTCGAAAATCCGAAGAAATACATACCCGGAACGAAAATGGTGTTTGCTGGTCTGAAGAAGGAGACCGACCGCGCCGACCTTATAGCTTACCTGAAGTCGGAAAACTAATAAGTGTCCTTATCCCCTAAACATTAGCACCTTTGTTTTTGGACAACTTCTTGGATGCATCCATAGTCTATGGTGAAAGCAGTAGTATTGTACATGTCCTTTCAATGCATACGTCGATCTTCCCAACCCCTTCGACAAGCATTAGAGACATATCCACCTTTGCCTAAATTTTTTACTCTTGTTGCAATATTTTGAAGCAAAGTGCAGTATTGTTGTTTTCGTAATCTTTTAATATGGTATATGGGTATGGTAGTTGTCACAACACCGCCGAGTTAATGCACCAGCGTCCCTTTGCAGATGAAACCGCACTAATGAGCCTCTACCAGTTTGGCTGATAGAGATTTCCTTGTGCGAATGTAGTTCGTCTAGTTCGTCGCCTCGTTTAACATTATCGCCCCCTCCTGGATT